TGTTCTGTCCCCTTACTTAAGCATCCAGTACAAATACAGCTCCTAGGGACCCACTCAGTGGATCAGGGACACTGCCCAGAGAAGAATGTGACTCCCAGGCAGCGAAAGTCCCTTAACAAAAACTGCTGGAAGGGATGTCCCAGGGCCCAGAGGACTCAGCCTGGGCAACAAGTGGGTGACCGCGTGAGCCCCCAACACCAGCGTCAGGGCAGGACTGAGCATGGGGCGGGGCTGAAGAGCTGCTGGGGATGCCAGCCCACCCGGGCCTCCCCTGCCTGTCTGGGAGCTGCTGATGGGCGCTCTTGGTCTCCCAGACTGGTACCCCCTCCTCAGGCTGGCACGGGCTCAGGAAGGGCTCGGGTGGCCGTGGCTGCATCACCCATATACTGCTGACAGGTCTCTGGGGCTCAGCAGCTGATGGAAGAGGCATGCAGGGAAGGGCAGGGAGGCAGTGGTGGGCTTCTAGCTGGTTTGCCCAAGCTTGGTTAGTGCCTCTTGGTGGAAAGAAAACCCCAGGGGCCGGGGGACACTGTGACCATCATCCAGGGAGCATGAGGTATCTCATGGTGCCTGTGTGTCAGGGCTCAGCATCTCTGCTTGGTGAGAGTTGCAAAAAGCCTGCAGAGCAGAGAGCCTGCTGCCGGTTCCCTCCAGGGGACTGACAGCTGGGGGACATGTGTGGTCCTTAGCATGGATGGGCAGACTCAAGAAGGCAGCTTCCTGCCTGCAGATGAGGATGAGTCATTAGGAAGTGGCTGGGACCAAGCTCTGGTCCAGTAGGCAAGGGTTTACTGGTGCAGGTGGACACTGCTGATGAACAGCATCACCTGGAGCCTTCCACAGGAACACTCGACCAGCATCTCTGTGTACCTGAGATAGAAGAATTGAGGGGGTGGGGTGCGTGCTACGTCTGATAAAACAAATTACTGAGGCCTCAGTGTAATTGTTATCCAAGGCTCCACCCTGCTCCCCTTTCCTGGACCAGCAACAGGGACTCAGAGCTTTATGAAATTTAACCCCTGAGATACCTACTACCTAATATATGTTGAGGGGAAAGTGCCTTTCAGACCTGTCTTGGCCACTCTGAATTCTCAGGATGCTCTTGGTCCAAGCAGGCCCCTGGCTGCTTCCACTTCATTGGCACTTCCCATCTTTCTCTTCCCAGTGTTGTGACCTTGGGCAAGTTACTCCACCTCTCTAAGCCTCAGACTCCTTATCTATAAGGCGGGGATAAGAACAGTGCCTGCCGCACAGTGCTGTGATAAAACAGGATAATGACCCAGGACTGCTTAGCAGTTGCCTGGTACCCATCATCCAGGTCATCACCATCATCCCATCATCTGATCATCCTCATCCTCACCATCATCCTATCATCTTTATCTTCCTCCTCTTCATCGTCATCTTCTTGAACACCCTTTGGGACTGAGGTTCTGCTTGGTCGCAAGCCCACATATTTCCCAGACCAAACTTCCCATGAGGAAGGTGGCCTACTGCAGGCCTCCATCCCACCAAGATCTGTCCCCAAGAGGGATCCATAGAATGGCCTTCCTGGGATGCATTCTGTTCAGCCACTTGTTCTCAGCGTGCTGCTGGAAAAGGTGTCTGTGATTCTAGAGTTGGGAGCTCTCTGTGTCAGTTGGAGATGTCCCATGATTTCTGGAGTTCACCAAATACCACTGCCCACTCGTTTTGCATTTTCTGGTCCTGAACATTCAAATAACATTCTCAGAGCAGGGATGTGATCAGAAGGTCTGGTTCCAGTGGCTAAAGATCTTGGCTCTTCTCTACTAGACCCAGCCAGAGCCACCCCACGTGTCACAGCCCTCCTCCAGCCTGGCAAGGCTTGCTTTGGGAGGAAAGGCCGGCCACAACCCTGCTTCTAGTCTCCTAAAAGCTGGCCTTGGCAAAAAGTCACCATTCCACTGCCCTTCAAGGCCACAGTCATTCCCCAGGTTCCAGGCAGAGTGGGCTCTGACGCCCGTCCCCTGACTTGGAGCAACTTAACCGACAGGGGCCCCCGGCTTCCTGTGGGAAAGACATCCTCCCTTTGTGAGCACGTGTGTCCCCATCCCTAATGACAGGCCAGTAGGTGGCTTCACCTCCTGGAGCCCCAGTTTCCTCATCTAAGACAGGGTGAGAACGGTGGCCTTCCTACCCCCCGCCACAGAACTGGGAGGACCAGGGTCTGAGAGCACTCAGCCATCTCATGGTAAGCAGGCGATCAAAGGCAGCTGCTCTTAAGTGCCAGGCAGCCTGAATCACCAGGAGAAGACTCTATCCGGGGCGGGGGGACAATGGACCTGGGAGGTGGCCCCACCCCAGGAGACCCAGGGGCTAAGGATCTGTGGTCATCCCACCTGACAGACACTGACAGAGCCTGTTCACTGTGCGCTATGACAGAAACTTGCAAGAATTGGTGCCTCTGAGAACAGAAGACCAGGGAGCCACCCACAGGCTCCAAACACAGACTCAGTCCTCCTGACAAACTCCTCCACATGTGACAACTCAACCTGGCTCCCACTCTGAAAAGTGTAGAAGGAGCCTGGAGAGTCAGACAGACCTGGGTTCCAACCCTGGCTTTGAACATGCCTCGATTCAGTGTCTTCACATAACTGAGCCTCAGGTCCCCGTTCAGTGATGCTTAAACAAAGCTCCCATGAGAGAATCAATGGCCTGATGCACAGGAGCGGTCACTTACTAGTGACTCTCCCATGAGCCACCCCAGTGACCCCGGGCATCCCTGCACATCCCACCAGTCCACTGTGCTCCGGGGCACCTCACTCCTTCAGGAAGAACATGAGGAAAGACTGCTTAGAAGGCTAGACTGGTTGGAAGATGCAGGTCTTAAAGTAGAACAAAAAGTAAAGTCGCTCAGTCGTGTCCAACTCTTTGTGACCCCATAGACTGTAGACTTGGGCTCCTCCGTCCATGGGAGGATGGAGGTCTTAAAGCTCTCTATCAATAGTCAGTCCTGCCAGCCACAGACTGTCTCACAAAAGGGGAGAGAAGGCGGCAGCACCAACCAGCACATGACCCTGTCTTGGAACAGTCCACTGTTGTCACACATTTTCCTGGGGTGCCGGGAGCAAAGATTCATGAGAAGAAATGTGGAGAAGAAGGGGCCAGAGGATCCAGCTCTGCAAAGGGAGGCTCCATCTTCAACTCCAGAGAGATTACAGCTCAGAGCAGGAATGCACATCAAACCAAGAGGCATCCTCCAGGCACAGGAGTGTCGCTGCAGAAAAGTTCACTGTCAGACCCTGCCCTGCCTCATAAGGGATCCCAGCCATGACTGGGGAGAGAGGCAAGCCCAGGGCAGTCTCTTAAGCCTTCACACAGCCTGCTCAAGCACAGGGCTGTGTCACACCCAGGTGTGAATAAAGGGAGGAGGCAGTTCTGACCTGTGGAACGGGGCTTGAGAGTGCCAGGGCCTCTGAGCTCATTGTGGGGGTGGGGTGGGCCTGTGACCATCATATCACGAGGGTTGGCTGGGGAAAGGGCAGAGACTCGTTACACTTGAGGACTTCGGGGGCCGAGCACGTGCTGCAGCTCTTTGTCACCTACAGAGAAGTGGCTGATGGACGAAGAAGACAGGGTCCCAGGGAAGTTGACCTGGATGACCGTCAGACTCCCACCAACCTTGAACTTGGGCCTCTGGACAACAAATCCAAGAATGTCATTAAGAACAGCTCCTTCTTGAGCGGAGGATGGAGGTGCAGGGAGCAACACAGCTACCCCTCAGAGAAACCTCAGCTCAGTGAGGGTGTGATGCTGTGATGAGTGAGGACATCCCCACACCACCCCCAGGTGTCCAGTGCCACAGGGCAACGTGCAGCAACCTGGGACTGGCAGTGGACCATAGAGGGAACAGTTAAAAAGGGAGTGTGGGCCTTGTCTGACTTTATAAACTGAGCTGCCAATGGAGGGCTATAGCCCAGGGACAGACTATGCTGTGGGCTTCCCTGGTGGCTCAGTGGTAAAGAACCTACCTGCCGAGCAGGAGATGGGGGTTCGATCCCTGGGCCAGGAAGATCCCCTGGAGAAGGGAATGGCAACCACTCCAATATTCTTGCCTGGAAAATCCCACGGACAGAGGACCCTGGAGGGCTGCAGTCCGCAGGGTCACAGAGTCAGACACAACTTAGCAGCTAAACAGCAGCAGCCACAGACTGCACTGCAGAGATGGGGAGAAGGTTGAGGACCATGTAGACACAGGAAGTCATTCTACTAAGAAAGAAAAGGATAAAGAGAGAAAGATGGAAACCTTACCCCCAAAAAGATAAGCTCCCTACCTGCCCTGGAGGCTACACCTTCCCCTGGAAAGGCTCACTGCAGGGGAACTATGGGGGAGAAAGAGGCCAGATGGGAGCCCACGGAGGGTTCTCTAAGAGTTGGAGCACCAACTCTTAGACCGTGAAACGGATCCAGAGCAGGTTTGCAGGGGACCGTCTGGGGCCAGCAAGGAGCCTGTCCGATGGAAAAGACGCAGCAAACGGAGGAATTCAGTAGCACCTGGTGGATACTGATGCTACACATGCCCCACCCCCTCCACCCTGGGCCAACATGCAAGACAGCCCACAATTCTGTGTCCATGAGTATACAGTTTTAATTGGATTGACCATGGAATATTGGGACTATACAGGCACGACTGAGCGACTTTCACACTCACTCATTCACGGTGTTTTCTCTCAACCTCACATTGGGATGAGGGGTGTACCCAGATTTTAGTCATCCCCTTGTTGCTGGAAGAAAGCTGAACACTTAAGGCTGAGGAAGCACTTACCTGGAGACTTGGGGACCCAACTGATGGGGACTCCAAGGATGTTGTGCTCCAGGTGTACCCCAGATGTGTTGCAGTGTAAACGAGGAGGCCAGGGGAGGAGTTGGGGCTGAGGCTTCCGGAGCTCATGACCACATGGTCTGAGATGCCCTCACCTCCTTCACGAGGGGCTTGTCTTCCCAGGCTGTTGCTAAAACTCAGCTCTTTTCCTCTGAAGCAGGGGACGTCTCTATGCCACGCTGGGACCCAACTGGCGCGTTCCAGTCCGGAATTCTCCCAGAACCCGGAGCTGCGTCTACAGGTACTCATTTATTCATGTGATCATTTACTCGACAAGTAGTTCCAGGGTGCTTGCTGGGCGCCAGGCACTGTGTTCGAGGCTGCCCACGAGACGGACACAGCCTCTGCCTCGGTCCGTGGGGCTGAGACAGAAATGGAATAGAAAATCACAGGTGCTGCTGGTCCAGAGAGGGGGCCTCCCTGCAGAAAAGACTGGAAGAGTGATAGGAACTAGCCAGATAAAGGGAAGGGAGGCGCTGGGGTAAAAGAGGACCCGCAGCCCAAGGACAGCCCATGGGGCCGGGAGGCAGGGAGAGCAGGGTGATTCCGGGAGTGGAGGAGGGTCCGAGTTGTATTAAGTGAGAGATGGGAGAGGGCGGCAGGTAAGGCCAGAGAAGGTGGACCAGAGCCAGGTCCAGCAGGCGGTGAGGAGGGTGGTCTCAGAGGCTCTGGAGGGGTTGCATGGGGGAGGGATGGAGAGGCAGGGGAGTGGCAGGACCCAGGTCATCCTGGCTGTGGTGTGCAGAGAGCCTGGGAGGAAGGCAAGAGTGGACGCAGGTAGGCCAGAGGAGAGGGTCGGGCAGTTGCTCAAAGGATGACCAAGTTCTGCCATAAGGTGGGGGGTGGGGTGGCTGAGCTGGGCAGTCGGGCATGTTTAGGGCATGGGGTCACTGATTCTGGGATGCCAAGGGAAAGCAGCTCAGCTTCAGTGCGGCGTTGAGGGAGGTGCCATCCAGGGAGCCGAAGCCAGGGCTTAGGAGGGAGGCCTGGGCTGGCGCTGCACTGGGGCTCCTCACCTGCAGGTGGCGCCCGAATCCCCATGGCAGAGGGGGAGAGAGGCGCCCTGAGGCAAAGGTGCAGGGCATGAGGATTTAGAGTCCCCCCACCCACCCCGCCCTCTTCTTACTCCACCCCCTTCCCTCCTACTTCCTCACTGAGAGGAGAGGGTGCTGCAAGGTCCCAAGAGACTGTGTGCAGGGGGAGAGGAAGCAGGATACGGTGTGGGTGATGCTAGGAGCTGGGTTACAGGGAGCGAGTGTGGTCCCCAAGCCTAGAGCTGCTCAGCGCTCAGAAAGACAAAGGAAAGGCACATTCCAAGCTGTGGGCGAGCCCAGAGCCGGCTTCCTTGAGGCTCTCTGTGGCCTCAGAGCCCTCCCTCCTGGGCTCGGCTCAGCCCTGTTGAGTTCTCGGTCTGTGGACCTGGACCTGGACCTGGCAGTCAGGGGCCCGTGGGCCCCATGGGTGAGAGGGTGCCTGTCCCCAGCTCCTCTGGGTGATGTCTGACCCGTGTGCTCCCCCTGCCCAGCCCCACCGGCCCATGCATCTGTACGCTGGGGAGCTCTGCGGCAGCCCCCACCATGGAGGGGCCTCTGAGAAGGAAAACTCTGCTCAAGGAGGGACGGAAGCCTGCGGTGAGTGCAGAGGCGGCAGGGAGGGCGTGGGTTCCAGAGACCGGCCAACCAGGGTCCCAGCCCTGGCCACACCACAGGGTGGGCAGGGCCTCGGTTTCCACATCTGTAAATTGGGATAAAATAGTCCCTACTTCCTGGAGGATTGGGCGGGAAGGTCATGTGTATGGCCCTGCACAGAGTGAGCAGGCGGTGGATGTCGCTGTGTGATTATCTTGAGGGCAGGTGGAAGCCTGGAGGCCCCGGGAATCAGGGTGGATGCTGTGCCTGAGACAGTCAGCACGGCCTGGGAAGTATTGCCAATGCAGATCCCCTCCCTGCTCAGGAGCATCATGAAACGTGTGGTGGAAAGGACAGGGACCAGGGATCGAGAGACCTCTCAGGCTCCAGCACTAGCCACCAGGTCACCCCGTGCCGAACCCAGAGGTCCCTGGCTCCATGACCCCTCAGCCCCTTGCAAAGGCCTCTTTGTTCGTTCTCTGGGACAGCCATGACTAGCTGCCCGCAAACCCGCCTGTGAGCTGCGTCTCCAGGCAGCATCTGCCGGTGTCTGCTCTGGCCTCCCTCTCCTGCTCCGGCTGCTGCTTGCCCCTGTCCACTGCCCAAGAGGCCACTTGGAGACGCTCCCTCCCACTGATGCCCAGCATGAAGATGCCAGGCCCCTAGTCCGGGGGCCGGTCTAAAAGCTCCCCATCTTCGGGTGCCAGGCGGTTCTTGGGTGAGGAGAAGCATCTTCACCCCAGCCCTGGGCCACACTCTGTCCCTTGGACTCAGTGTCACGCAGCATCCTGTGACATGAGGTCCTGTATCTGGTCTGCTGTACAGACCTGCTTGCCACCCTTCTGTACCTACAGCCAGGCCCCAGTCTTCCAGAAACCAGAGCGAGACAATATCCTAAAAGCACTGTTGTCCCAAACGCTGGTTGGCCCACTGGTAAAGCGATGAAGTCAGTCCAGGGGGTCATGACCCATAGTTTTGAATAGAATAGACTGGAAGATGTTGGAGTTTCTTACACATGATACAGATGAGTATGGTTTCATGAAGCTTCTGTTGGTTCAACATACAATACCATGACCACCTGGCGGGGGTGTCATCAAAAAGGTCTGAAAGCCACTGCTTTCATCACCTGAGATGACGCGGCACCCCCACCCCTACCAGCATGAAGAGGAGCCCCCCAGGCTGTGATGCTGGGTGATCTGCTGAACCCCTGTCCTTCTGCGATGGGATATTTGCTTCGGTTTTGCAGAACTGGCTTTTCCAAACCAATGAGCGGAGCCCCAAACCAGGGATTCCAGGCCTTATGCCTAGAGAAACAAAAGCTACACCACCAGTTTGGCCCTGCCGGGCATCACCCCTTCTAGCCATAAATGCTTTCGAGGTGCTGCCATTCACTCTTAGCCAAGAGTGCCCATCACAGACGTTCCAATTCTTCCAAGCTGTGGTTTCTACTTGTCCATTTTTCCCCAGGACGTTCTTGGATTCGGGTCACCTGAACTCATAGAAGTTGTGCCTTGGCACTAAACATGGTGGGAAAAGGAAAGGCTCTGGGAAGAAAGGAGCCAGGAAGAGGAGGGAGGTCTGGGGCTGATGATCTGCTGAGGAGTCCCGCTGGCTGCTTGGGGCCCCGGAGGAGTGGCACCGAGGGGTGGAGGGCAGGGAAGAGGGGAGACCTACGCTGGCCCCGCTCAAGGAGGGGCCGCCCTTCCATCCATGTGCCTGGGTCTCTAATCAGGCAGCCCGGGGACGCCGCCCCTGCCACTTGCGACATTGTCACTCTGCCTCCCCTTCCTCCCTAGCTGTCTTCATGGACCAGGTACTGGGTCATACTCTCAGGATCCACCCTCCTGTACTACGGGGCCAAGTCCTTGCGGGGCACAGACAGAAAACACGTATGTTCCGTGAAAGAACTCTCTGTGCTGGGCCTTCATGTCATGTGAACTGCTGGGGGTGTGGGGGGAAGGTGGGGAAAGGTGGGGGGGATGGGAGGGAAGCTTGCCTGGCCCAGGTGGGCCTTCCTAGGCGAGCGGAGGGCCTCCTGACTATGCTGTTGTTCCCCTGCAGTATAAATCCACACCTGGCAAGAAGGTCTCCGTCGTGGGCTGGATGGTGCAGCTGCCTGACGATCCTGAGCACCCGGACATCTTCCAGCTGAATAACCCCGACAAAGGTAGGCGGCAGGCCAGAGCTGGTGCCTGTAGCCTCTCTGCCCTGTTCCTTCTGCGGCTAAATGTGCGTTTTGAAACAGCAGGGACTTTTGAGGCTGCCGCTTTCCCTTCACGTTAAGTTCTGATGTTCACAGGGTCCCCTCATTTGTCCCTAAAAGCTGCTTAGACCGTGGTGGATGTGTCCACTGAGCAGTGCACATGGCACGTGGCTGTCGGAATCCTTTTCACCTATGGCTGCTGGGGCCCATCTCCCTGGAGCTGTGGCCTTGGGGTCACTGCTGGATGAGGCAGTGACTTCGAAGCTGGAGTAGTCTGTTTTATTTTATGCATTTGACCTTATTCTGAGAAGGATCCACAAGCTTCCCCAGAGCCCAAGACCCCATGACGGGAAAGATGGTTGAGAGCCCTGGTCCAGAGAGATGGGGGCGGCGGGGGCACAGGAGCCTCCTACTCCACATGCCCTGAGCTCATCTTGGGCTGCTCCTGACCTTCCCCAGGGTAGTCACCCAGGTTCACGCTTATCTTCACACCACAGGCAGACCCTCCCATGTGACCTTCCTCTTAACCAGTGGCCTTTCTACCACCAGGCAATGTTTACAAGTTCCAGACTGGCTCCCGGTTCCATGCAATCCTGTGGCACAAGCATTTGGATGATGCATGTAAAAGCAACAGGCCTCAGGTAAAGTCACCAAAGTCCTGATTGTCACCTGAAATACCCTCTCTCACCCTCGGGCCAAGGGTCCACAGAAAACACACCTTCCTCCTTCCCCCAGAGACTAGCAGCTAGGCTCCCAGGGACTCTCTTTTGATCAGCTTTTCCCCACGAGACAGGGCACCCCCGACCCGGCTTAGAACTAAGCCCAGCTTCAGACTAGAACTTTGAACCTGTCTCCTGTGTCTTTCCTACTAAAGGAAAAACCACAAAAACATCCCATCCGAGACAGTTGGCAGGTGAGGTACTGCCCCATGGGTCAGGCTACAGCATCTGTTGAGATCATGCCCCTGAAAGTTGATTTTTGGGTATCCTCCAACCTGACCAAAGTACCTCCCTGCCCCCCACAACCCTTAGGAATAAGGATAATAGCTAACTTGTTGAGAGCTAACCATGGCTGTTGGTGAGTGGGGCTCCCCACTCCTTGGCATGTTTGAACCAATGGGACCACTGGTTTGCCAGGCCCTGGCTTGAGGCTCACTCCCACCCCCATGCCACCCATCCCAGGACCAGGCTTGAGGCGAGATGCTTTACATGCAGGAATTGGCCAAATCCTCCCAGCATCCCTGTGGGGTAGGTTCCCAAATTGTCCCCGTTTTATGCTGAGGTCACTGAGGCTCACAAAGTGGTGGACCCCGGTTTAAGGCCCCCTGGTGAGTGAGGTCTCAACCCCCTCCTGCCTGACACCAGGGTCTAGACCTGCCACCCCTGAGCTGTCCCACTGCAGGCATCCCCAGGGCCCCTGACTTGCTCAGCCTCCGGGCATCGAGCCAGAGGCCTGGAAGCAGAGACTCCACTGTCCAGGCTTGTGAGAGTGGCCGCCCAGCACTCACACCAGCCCAGGCAGCATGTGGGCCACTGGGACCAGAACCAATGCTCCCGGCCGGCCGTGAACTTCCCTGACCTGTTCCCCAGGATGAGCTGGAAGATGGTGGGGGCAGGGGAGACGGGTCCCTCTCCTCTGTCTAGAGAGCGAACATCAGGGCTGGACTAGATGGAGGCAGCTTTGAGGAGGAGGAAGTTGGTGCCGAGGCCAGGCCAGACACATGGGGCTGGGAGGGCCGGGGCTGCCGTGGTGCTGGTCGCAGCCCAGGCACAGACTTCTCGGCCCCCAGGGTAATTCTCACGAAGCAGAGGGAGGTCTCTAGTGGCATGTCCTGTGATTCTGTGCTCAGTGTGTGCCCATTCAGGATTTTCATCTGTAACATAGATAAGGATATGTATGACAAGCTCATCAAATTAGACATGCTGAGAAGCTCAACGGCAGAATTAGCAGAAAGTCCTTGACAAACTAAAACAGGAGGGCAAGACTGATACAGGGATAAACTTGAGGCCCCACAGGGACTCAAGATAAATTGCATTTGAGTCCCTCCACTCACTTGCTAGGAATTTGTATATGTGAGCACATATACAAATATGAAATTCCACAAAAAAATCATCTCAGGCACCGAGAGTGTATGTGCATGGGCACATGCTCACATATACACACACAGGCTCGTGGTGAAAGTGTTCACTGCAGCATTGTCCTTAATAGAAAGAAAGAAAAGCCACTGGAAACCTTGCTGACCCTCAGTATGTCCCTACTGTGCAGCCCCTGATGTGTGTTTGATCACCTAAAAGGTGCTGCAAGTCACAAGTGAGAAAGCTTGAGTGTAAAAACACATGTCAGGACGATCTCATTTGTATTAAAACACTGAATATTTATCATATGCATGGTGGTGCATGTAACATTTCTGAAATAGCATACAGGAGACTACAGTTCTGAGGTTTCTAGAGCATGTTTTCATGTTAAGCAAATATAACTGCCCATCCCCGTGATGAGACTAGGGTCCTGGGTTGACTCTTACCTCAAGGTGATGAACAAAGTGCCACCTGAGGTCACTTTAGGAGAGGAAGAGCCCCCTGCCCTCCTCTGCTCTGGTCACGCGGTGCTTGCCTGGGGCCCCTCCTTGGATTAAGGGCACGGCGCCTGGAGCTCACCTGTACTCAGGTGGCCCCGAGGAGTGACAAGAACTGAAGCCCTGAAGTGAGCCACACAGACGGTGGGGCAGAGAGAGAGACAGGCGCTTCCTCGGTGCCTGCCCCACGAAGACAGTCACGGCTCTGAGGGGTTGGGCAGTCAGGAGAGGGACAGTTGCCCTGAACAAGAGCCTTTGTCCTGATCTGGGGGACTGGGGGTGCGGCCTGAGGGAGGCAGCAGCCCTGCAGTGGGTAGCAGGGACCTGGGTCAAACCCCCTTAGCAGGGGAGGTGTTTGGTGTGAAGGACAAATGGATTGCATACCATGTCTGGCAAATGCAGCCTTCCCGCAGCAAGGTTTTGCAACATTGAAGTATTTTTGTCCAGTTTTTAGACCTAAGGGAGACGGTCTTCTATTTTTTTAATACTTTTTACCTCTAATTTACTTTCAATCAAATATTCCTGCTGTCTGCTGTATGTAATAATAAAAAATGGTAACAACTAAATATTCCACAGCAGGAGATTACTGAAACAAGCCACAATACCTGCCTGCGATGGCATACACAGGGGCTGCAGAGAAGGGTGTTACAGAAATGCATCTCCTCCCATAGAAACTCTCGGTGCCTGAGGTGATTTTTTTGTGGAATTTCATTTCTTAAAATCGTCTGTGCTAATAGGGAATACATGCGTGCATGTGTGTGCTAAGTCGCTTCAGTCGTGTCCAACTCTTTGTGACCCTATAGACTGTTCCCCCCCAGGCTCCTCTGTTCATGGGATTCTCCAGGCAAGAATATTGGAATGAGTTGCCATGCCCTCCTCCAAGGGAGCTTCCCAACCCAGGGATAGAACCCTCATCCGCATCTCCTGCATTGCAGATGGATTCTTTATCGCTGAGCCGCTGGGGAAGCCCAATAGCGAGTACGTTTAAACTTACTGATAGCATGTACATAAGGTGTAAACCACAGCAATAAAGCAAATAACCATGTGCCCCCGACCCAGCCTAATGGCAAGACTTCCCCAGGCCTCAGAACACCTCCCTCCCAGGGTTGTCTTCCTAATTCTGTCTCTCTCCCACCCACTTGCACCCCGTAACCGCATTCCTGATTTGTTTACTGTTCCTTTAAAGCATTACCACACGTATTTGATTTCTTAATGTGTTATCTGGGGTACACTTTTAGTTTTTGTGCATGTTCACTGATTTTTCTTTATGCGTTCATTCATTCATTCATGGTTGTGTCAGGTCTCGGACGCAGCACGGGCTCTTCCGTTGCCGCACGCAGACTCTAGTTGTGGTGTGTGGGCTCAGCAGTGCAGCGCACAGGCTTCGCTGCCCTGCAGCCTCTGAGATCTTAGTTCCCCGACTAGGGATTGAGCCCATGTCCCCGGCACTGCAAGGCGGATTCTTAACCACTGGACCACCAGGAAGTCCCTGGGGTACATTTTAAAAAAAAAAACTTCTTTTAAAAACACAGAACCATTACTGCACAGCTTCTTCTGTGACTTGCTTTTCTCCTACAGTATGTTCCTAGGATACCTCTGTGTCAGTGTGTGTAGCTGTGATTCATTTGCTTGTAATTTTTTATCACTTCTCCGTGATCCCAAGAATGATTTCCTGCTTCTTGATATTTTGAACAGTGCTGCCATGACCATTCTTATAACTGTCTCCTGGTGCAAGGAGATGCATTTTTTTCCCAGTTCATCATTTTGACCAAATTGACACCAAGATGGATTTGTTTTTGATGAAACTGCTTATCATCAAATTTCCTGGAAACCCACGGCCATGCTGGGGAGGAGGCCTGGGGCTGGGGGCAGGTCAGCAGCTTTGAAGGGAAGGAGAAGCATCCTGATCTTGGGGCTGGGGGTCCCACAGTAAAGGGAGCTGGGATCTGGTCCTGGGGACACAGCATAGGAAGGTCTCGGGGTTCCTGACATCCCCAAACTTCCTCCTTCTTTTTGTACTTCTACTTGCCAACTCCTGCCATCTGCTAACCACCCCTCTCCTCTCCAGAGGCATGGGCTTACCTTACAGGCTTGGTCATCTCCTCCTGCAAATGCACTTGTGCCTTGACCCAAGGATAGTGGTTGAGAGCATGAGTACCCTGTCACTCACCCGCTGTGTCCTTCACCTCCCTAAGCCTCAGTTTCGTCATCTTTATAATGGGAATAATTCCAGTACCTGCCTCCTGGGGTTGTTGTGAAGGCTCAGGACACAATACCAATGGGGTCCTAAGAGCCCTGCCTGGCACATGGTGGCCCCTTAACACATGGCGGCTGTTACTATTGCCATGTCCTCGCCCCACCCCCACCCACTCATTCACAGACTGACTGGGAGAGGTCTGAGCCCTTTAGGGACCACCCCTCCACTCCCCCAGCCCCAGCCCCTTCTAAAAGGTCGGAACTTTGACAAGAGACAGCTTTCTCTTCTAGGTACCTGCAAACCTTATGTCATTTGAATAAGTCTCTGCAAGACTTGGCGTGACTTCGGAGGCCTCTGGGAGCCCGGCATGGGACTGGTGGCCAAGCGCACATCGGGGGCACAGGCCGCTGGCGGGATGCTGGGAGACTCAGACCTGGACTTGAGGGGACATGGCCTCACATTCCGGAGGGCTCCACCGATGTGGGGTCCACCCACTGATCCCCAGCCATCCTCATGCCCCCCATTCTGCAGCACCACCTCGGGGGGCCTCGGTTGGTCCCCAGACTGTACACCCTGCCTGCCTGCCCGCCCAGCCTGGGTCCGCGTCTGTCCACCAGCTGCTGCTGCGACCAGAGAGCACCCGGCCCACGTTGGGTCCCCAGGGCTTTCTCCTGCACAAAGAGTGGATAGCGACCCCCGTGTGAGGGCCAGAGGGACGAGACAGGCTGGGGACTGGCTCTTTTCACCCCAGCGCGTGGGGTCGCTCACCCACAGGGCTGCCTCAGATTTTGTACACCCGAAGCGTCCTCTTCGTGTGCGTGCTGTGTCTGTGTGCGTGCAAGCGAGCGAGCGTGGACTCTCTGAGAAACATGCATTTTGGCACAAGACTCATGACATCACACACTTCATTCTCTTTGAGGCCCTGCTTTCACCTTAAGCGATAGACTCATCCACCAAGGAAGGTCAGAGTGAGAGCCCAGATTCCTCCTGTGTTAAGGGTCCCTCGCATTCTTTTACTGTAAACAAACAATGCCTTAAATTGTGTCTTGTTTTCTGTTCCTATGGGTGCTATTCATCCAGACGGCCTGCTCCCTGGGCCCCCGGGCCCTCCCAGGCCTTGTTGCCGTCGGCTCTTCTGAGATAGGACCCGGCTTCGGAACCACGGGCTGGGCCGGCTGCTGGCCTGCTTGCTTCCTCCCAGCCCCCTCCCGCAGGGTCTGAAGGCGCCCCCCCGCCACTTTCTCCTCCCCCGTCCCCCCACCCTATCCTGTGCCAGCATGGGAGCCACTTTCTGCCAGCTTCTCGAGGCCAGCTGTGCGCGGTGACCTGACCTGCTGCACGGAAGCTACTCTGCACCAACCTCTCCCCAGAGGGCCAGGCTTTCGCTCCCCCCCCCCCCATCTCTTTGCCTCCACTGCCAGGGCGGGGCCTCTGGGATTCCTGATTACACTGGGGAGCCTGAGTGACACTGAGGCCTTAAGCTCCCCCATTCCTGCCCCCAAACACAGTCACCAGCAAATTCTCCATCATCCAAGTCCAAGGGCACAATAGTTGATGACCATGGTGACGAGAGAACAAAGCCTCGGGGAGCGGACAGTCAGAGCTCTGGTTTCAGCTGAGAGCTCTTCAGGTGAACAATGTCCTTCACCTGTCACTCCTTGTCATGTTTTTAAGTGACTTACTTTGCACAAATACATTTTTATTTAAAGTCATGAATAAAAATTAGCTTTATTTATGGTAGCTTTATCACTGTAGCTTCTCCCCCCAGCCCCTTCCTGCCTTCTCCCCTCCCCTCTTCCTCCCTCTTTTTTTTAATCTGGGTGTCCTGATTCTGAGAAGGAAACCTGAATGATTTTTTGAAAGAGACTGGGTTTTTGGGTCCTTGTCACTCATGGTTTCAGAGCTCACACTGATCAGACAGCAAACAACTCTTAAAAGAGTTTCTGTGCAAGATGCTTCAAAACAACACCTTAACCACTAAATGGTAATAGGTTGATTTAAGAACTGCCAAAGAACCCACCCCTGTATTTTGATCAAAAGGTGACCACTTTTCCTAAAATTCAGATGAATTAGTGAGGAAAGTGATTGTCATTGGGGTCTTATTTTGTGATGGCACTTTACTGTGCTCAGTAACTAACTTCCTTTGGAACAAGGTCTAGAATACTTTGGTGGTGGGAGAAATGCCCAATGGGGAAGTTGAGGCCATCAAACCTTGTCCATCATTGGTGCTTCACATACCCTCTTGCAGCTGGGGTCAGATGCATGCACCTAATTTATACCAACAACTGCTCAAACTAGCATTTGGAGTCTGAATGAACATACCGGACACCCCAACACCTCTCACCAGAACCATGCAGTGTCAATGCTTTAACCGATATTATCTCTGATTCTACCTGCTAATTTTTTTAAGTCTAAAGTTTGAATGCAATTGCAAAACTACTTTCCTTGAGTTTCTCTACTCTTCAAACTGTCCTGGTTTTTCCACCATGAGATATTATAGAAGCCAATCCAAAAACCTCAAAATTTCAGGCTCCACTAAATAAGATCACTCACTGCCCTTTACAGATTTTCTTTATCTTTCACAAACGTTTTCTTCTGAGCCCAATCTTGAAATAGCACAATCGCAGTTCTTGTCAAAGTGTTGACACTTCTCAACACTTCTCACTAGTTGAAATTGACCCCAAGTCCCCTCCTGGAAACATTCTTAGCTTGGACTCTCCATAGAACTGGTAAGAACCTTGAACTTACCAGAGGAGTCCTGCGGATAAAGCTATAAGGCTCCTGGCTCTCCCAGCGGGGGCTCAGGGCCACGCTTGCTGTCTTCCTAACATTGGTTTGTCCTTCATGCCGCCAGTCATAGCAAGCCAGGGCAGAGGGAGGGCTGGGCACAAACCCCAAAAGGAAAAGTCCCCAGGTGGATTCTCACCCTGGAAGAAAGCATTCCTGGGTCTTCCTCTCTGACTCACCATTGTGCACAAATGTCTGTGAAAACACTGAAAGTGATGTCTCTGGTATGTGCATGCTGTATCTTTTTTTTTTTTTTTAAGCAAACAAATCCCTGAATGAAAGTTCTAGAGTGCTGTCTACGACCTGTGGAGTAGATAGCTAGTATCCTCATGATGCCATGCAAACAGCTCACTCACCTATCCCCGAGAGTAATTTTCACTCCCCTCTGTCAAACGCATTCTGTAACTCAAGGTCAACCAAGTGCACTCTGACAACTGAAAGTTTCTGGAGGACAGATTTGGTGGAAAGCTGTAAAAATACTGATCTGAGTGTGCCCAGTGGACAGTGTGGCCTGCCTCCCCTCCCTGGAGAAGCCAGTTCATCACCCTGTCCCCTGTGGACCCTGAAGAGAAGACAATGAAGGGGTTCTGCTTATGAAAGAACCCACTCTGTCTTGCCAACTGAATTTATAAAGTGTTTTTTTTTTTTTTCTTACCAATGTGGCCAGTATTTCTTTCATCGTCTTCCTCCCACCTTCCAAGCCCAAGAAGTGTGTCTTTTAGGATGCCATTTGACAGGTGGAAGAATGGTCCACGAAACACGAAGCCCTTACAAGCAAGGTCTGCTTTCAATCCACAGGTGGAGAGTCTAGAGTTCTGGACCCACATTACTGATGCTGAGAACCAGGTGAACAGTGCTGAAAACACAACCTGATTTACCTATTGTGACCTGGTAAATCACTTTAATCACACATCATTCTGAAATGTTGGGTGATTTCATGTTTTAAAAAGAAAAAAAAAAAACTACAAGAGTCCTTTTGAAATAACAGACCCTCTGTGTAAAGCCACCCATTCGTCCATCGATTATCATCTCTAGTGAGTGCTTCCTGTGTGTCAGACTCTTCCTCGGGATTGAAGTGGCCGAGAACAAGATAAACCTAAGCCCTGCCCTCATGGAGCTGACCTCTCAATGAACAAATAGTCCTCACCACGCCATTTCCTCTCTCCCAGCAAGACCCTGGCTTCCCATCCCCCACAACCCCCACCCAGCACTGGGTAGAAACCCTGTGTGGATTCCTCCAGAAAGGCTTCGAAAGGCTCAACAGACTGAATAGTCTTCAATTTGCGAGTCCAGTTACTGTCCGAGTGGCCGGTTGGCACAGGACAGCCAGGCACAGAACTATGGCCGGACACAGGATTCCAAGGCGGAACAAGAGAGTCACGTCAGAACTTCTTTACTTTTACTTACTCCAGAAGTTCTTTGTTTTTAATTTCAGTGTTAAATACAAGTACAACTTGAGCGAGAGCTGCTTTCCCTTGGGTGTCGAGAACTCGTCCCACGGACCACCTCACCACTGGTGCTGCACAAATGTGTGTGCGCCACGGGCAGCCCCCAACCCCCTGCTCGCAGCAGCAACGATGGAGCATCTGTGAGTTCTGTAATCACTCATCTCTTTATCCGTTTTTGAACGACTGTGACCATTCAGTAACAATAGTGATTAATTTAGTGTGGTAAAATCTCCAATAAATTTTGTGCCAAAATGCATGGGTTTTCATTTAGCATTCAAAATGTTGCATAGAGAGTAGTTTTCAATTTCTTATGTATTCCTCCAAGTAAGTTGAAAATCAATTTTTACATTTCAGTTTGTTTCTTGTTCGATCTGTTGCACTCTCCTGGGCTGTCTTTTTTTTGCATGCAGTTGTGTAAGGACTTTCCCTAATTCTTGTGAATTGTCTCATCCGCAGTAACCACTGAACATCAGCCCTCTGTGGGATTCTTTAGATTTTTGGTGAAGTATTTTGTTACCTCAGTCTTGTATCAAGTTGCTGTATTTTTCAGCTTGTTACGCGGATAATAATTGTTTCACTAATTAAATACTTTAGTGTATAAACATTTTTGTTTACTTTGAAATTAAATGTTTTTTCCAATGAATATTGCTCAGTTTTTTAAAGTCACGTGCATTCCTTTAGCCACCAGTTGCTGTGCCAGACACAGACATGAAGGAGGTGTGGGGACTCAACTAAGAGGTTACTAGAACATGAATGACATGCAGGAGCAGTGCCCTCGGGGAGGGGCAGAGTCAGTGCTGTGGGCACTCGGGGGCGGGACACGGAGAATTGGAGGAAGCCTTAGAGAGAGGGCAGCGCCATTTGCAGATTCATTTCAGAGATGGCTGAAGACATGGTGGGCAGAAGAGGTGGAAAGATGTAAGAGGAGGAGGAGCAGGACGATGTTGGGGAGGCAGGCAACCTCGCCTCGCTGAGGCAAGGATTTGAGGGCGTAATGGGATCCAAGTCTGAAAAGGTGTGTTGGGGGAAGTTCATGATGCTGCACAAAACCCAGAAACCCACTCTCACTTGCTTAAAAGGAAAGGAGGGGGGGGGTACTGTCTTACAAGGATTGTCTCATGGAAATTGAGGAGAGTCTCAATGGGCAGGAAAAAGAAATGGGAAGTCCGCTACATTTTGTCCTCTCCCCTGCATTCTCCAGACTGACTTCTCTGCTGGAATATGCAGCAGTGAAGGAGTCCAGACCTGGGAAAGCACCTTGAAGTTGTTGAGGGAGTGTGCACCAGGGGGTAACATGATCCAAGCTGATCATGGGGACCCCTGGCCCCACCTGCCGCAGTTTCCCAGCTAGTGTCTTCCAAGCTCAGGCTTCCTGCACACACACTCCTCAGCATCTGCTCCACCAGTTCCTGGCCAGCATGACCACACCTGCCTCACTATGACAAGCCCCCCCCCTGACTGAGGGCCCCTAGCTCACCTCCTCCTCACGACTTAGGTGATACAATCACCCCGAGCTTTACCCGGATAGGGTCGCTGCCCTCAGATGCAGGACATTGTTTGAGGGCTCTGAGATGGATGCATCTGACAGTGCAGGAAACTAAGTCAAGACTTGAGCCCACAACTGGTAGCCTGCACAACTCCAGTCCCTCGGCCTCACTGTGACAGGCAGGCAGGCATCAAAAACGCCACCTGGAGACAGCAG